TTTAAAACCTTTTTTTTTTTTTTTTTTTTTTTTTGCTACAGGGTCTCACTGTGTAGTTGAGACTGACCTGGAACTCGCTATGTATCCCAGGCTGGTCTCGAGCTCACGGCGATCCTCCTGCCTCAGCCTCCCGAGTGCTGGGATCACAGGCTTGCGCCACCATGCCTGTCCATAGTGGTTTTTAGAGCTCTCGTCTAACTGCGTCTTCTATATAGAGGAGATAACCAGGAGTGTGAATATGTAATTGTGTGCCTCCCTGACCTCCAGAGTCATTAGGCTCAGTGCTCTAAGGGAGCAGATAGATAGACAGGCGTGGAGGTGCGTGGATGTAATGTCAGCGCTGGGGAGGCTGAGGCAGGAGGGTGGCCTCAAGTTCACGTCCAGCCTGAAGTACATAGTGAGACCCTGTTTGGAAAAACCCAAAAAGAAAAGAAAGCCTGTGGTTTTTCAGTTTATTGGGTCGGTCTTGAAGCTTTAATGTTCACATGTATTTTGTAACCTGAAGATTTCCTTCCAAGGACCTTACAAAGTTCTCCTCAGGGTTGTGGGAACCTTGACAAAGTTTAGACAAGGAGAAAACCACACAGTTCCATGTACGTGTTGGGAAACTGTCATCCTAGGGAGAAACAGCTCTAACTCGGTATTGAGTGCGCTGTGGGCCGCGCCTGTGCGTGGAGGAGGGTGGGGAGCAGCACCCGTCACCAAGGCCGTTTGCTCCCCGTCACCGCCCGGGCAAAGCACAGGGCGCAGCTTGCTCTTTTCCGTTGTTATTGAAGGCGGAGAACGGGGTCGTTGTGTTTTTGTAGAACAACCAGTGGTCTAGGGTCCAGATGTCAAGAAATAACTGCTAGGACTCTGTGTTCCCTTGTGAAACTCCTGAGCTCTTCCGGTAGCAGATCAGTCCCGTTTCTGGTGCTCCAGCCACCCAGAAGTGAAAGACCACGAGCCGAGTCCGCGGGTCACAGGGAGAAGCAGGACAGCAGAAGAGAAACGTGATGCGGTTCCGCTGTGGTGTCGCAACTCTTTTAAACCGGTTCAGGACCCTTCACGTTCAGCGCCTCGGCGTCTCGCTGCTAATGACCTAGGGAACCTGTCAGTAGCACCTGGCAAGGAAGGGTCAGCTGTGCAATTCTTTTTTTTTTTTTTTAATGGAGTTCATTGGTACTTTTTAAGTATACAGTACAGTTAATTCATCCTTGGGAATTTGTACCTGTACGTGACAGGTCTTGGTTCTCATTTCTTCAGCTGTATAATTCTTGAAGGTAATCAGGCAGTGGAGAACATTTCCAGCAAGAAGGGTCTGTAAGAAGTGCAGGTGTACTGCATATAGAAAAAGCCAGCCAGGGCTTTTTTGTTTGTTTGTTTGTTTTGAGACAGGGTCTCACTGTGTAGTTGAGACTGACCTGGAACTCACTGTGGAGCCCAGGCTGGTCTCGAACTCACAGCGATCTTCCTGCCTCAGCCTCCCGAGTGCTAGGATGACAGGCATGCGCCACCATGCTCGGCTGGTCAGGACTTTGAGACGTCACTGTCAGGTGTTTGCTCTTTGGATGAGCTGGCCCCGTGGCGGGTGCTGAGCAGAACTGCTAGATGGTGTCGGGGTACAACGTGTAGGTCACAGCTTTGTTGCGAGCGCAGGTAATTTATGAGCTCTAGTCTTTATCCAGTCTGAGGGCGTTAAAATTAATTACCACCTGGAACCGCAGAGAAGAAATTCAGGAATGAGTTGAAAGGCACTGGAACTATTCATGTTCGTACCAGATCAGTAAGACAAAATTCAAAAGCCCAAGCTGTGGGTTGGGGATTTGGCTCAGTGGTTCCACCGCCTGCCTCCTAAGCACAAGGACCTGAGTTTGATCCCTGGTACAAAAAACAAAAACAAAAACAAAAACAAACCCAAACCAGCCATAACCCTCGCACTTGGGAGGCTGAAGCAGGAGAATCAGGAGTTCACAGCCAGCCTAGACTAAAAACCAAAGCAAAACATTGAGAAGTTAGTGTCTAGAATTAGCTGTTCAGAAATCAGAAGGGGACATTTGTTTTAACTTTCTGACGGATTAGCAAACACGGGCCCTACTGCGATGTTCAGGAAGAAGGGAGAAGTTCTTCTTCTGCACTTCTGTGTATGTTAAGACAGTCTGTGTGACACAATATAAAACTTCTACACAAAACAGTAAAGGAGGCTGCTTGAACAGTGTAAATCTGGGGACTTTGTCTCATTACTTTCAGAGGAGACGGAAGAGGAGAAGGTCCCCTCCGGCACGGGTGGTCTGCGGGGATCCCCGGGGTTTTTCTCTTCCTGTCCCTAGGTGATAGTGATGACAGGCGGGCGGCAGCCAGAGCTCAGCGCTAGCGTTGGCACCGCGGGGGACACGCATGGCGCCACCGTGGGCGGCTTCCGCCTGGCACTGTGGCCTTGCGAGCGTGGGTCAGGATTCGCAGGCGCATTGGGGGGTCAGCAAGCTCGAGGCAGGGAGACACTGCGGGAGACGCAGGTCTCAGCTCCGCATGGGAACAGGATGTCGCCACCTGTGTTCGGCAGTGTTGTGTGAATTGGGACGAAGACGGGGAAGTGAGGCTGGCCAGACCTTCCAGTCACACCGGCCAGGAGCCACGCAGAGCGTCCAGATGACAAAAATGCCTGTGCTGGATGTCACCTGTCAGCAGGCAGAGGGGACGCACGGCTGGGGCCTGGCATATCCGCTTCGTTGGTACAGGCTTGCTGTGCAGTTTTTTGCATTCTTTTTTGTTGTTTTTTTAAGACAGGGTCTCACTGTTTAGCACTGGCTGGCCTCAAACTCAGGGTGACCCTCCTGCCTCAGCCTCCTGAGTCCTGGGATTACAGGCGTGCGCCACCATGCCCAGCTTGTGGTTTTCCCCATCAGGTCCCTGGTTTCTGTAGGCTGGCTCAGGGAGACCAGAACAGGCCTCCTCACGGGGGTGTGGAGTGCAGCCCGCTCCCGAGGTGGCTTTGGTGCGGTGCAGGGTTTGTCAGCCATCTGGGCCGGGCCTGTCCTTGGCTGGGCGGGCTGTGTGCTGAGACCTCGGGCCAGGCCAGTGTCACTGGGTGATGTTGAAAAGGTCCCTGGGAACAGTTCCTGCCTTGGTAGTTCATGGACTCCTTGGAAATTGGATTTTAAAACGTACGGATTCTCAGGCTGAGGATTTAGCTCAGTGGTTCCGCCGCCTGCTTTGCAAACACAAGGACCTGAGTTCAATCCCCGGTACCAAAAAAAAAGGAAAAAAAATGTATGGATTCTCTCTTGCATCTTACAACGCACGCGCGCGCACACACACACACACACACACACACACACACGAGCAAGGGCCAGGGAACACACAGGCGTGAGCTGTCCTGTGAGCAGACTGGAAGGAATGCGGGCACGTTGAGACAGCAGTGGGTTTGTGACAAACGAGGACACACATTCCTTCCCTAAAGAAAATTCAAGACTTTTTCTGTTTTTGGTTTTCTTGAGACAGAGTCTCGCTATGGAGCCCAGGCTGGCCTCAGAGTCTGAGTGACCCTCCAGCCTCCGCCTCCTGAGTGCTGGGATGGCAGGCGGGCGCTGTCATGCTCAGCCAAGACTTTTAAAAATTCCAGCCTCCGCCTCCTGAGTGCTGGGATGGCAGGCGTGCGCTGTCATGCTCAGCCAAGACATTTTTAAAAATACATCACCTGCGGCCTCACATGGTGGCGCACGCCTGCCATCCCAGCACTTGGGAGGCTGAGGCAGGAGGATCGCTGTGACTTCCGGTGTAGCCTCTGGCTGAGTGGGTGGGTAGATGGCCCTGGCCCCACCTGCTCGTGCAGCATGGGGCGGGGCGCTGCCCGAGACTTCTGTTCCTGTTCTGCCCTAGGCGCGGCAGCAAGCTCAGATCCGACAGCAGATGGCCGAGGACAGCAGAGCCGACTACTCCTCCATCCTGCAGAAGTTCAACCTGGAGCAGCGCGAGTACTACCGCACCCACATCCCCAGCATCTTCCAGGTGGGCCTCCCCGCCGCCCTCCGCCCGCACATGTCAAGAGCCCCCAGGCCTCCGTGAGAGGAGACGCCCCCCCCCCCCAGCACTGCTCGGGAAACGGCCACGGCAGACCTCCTTGGTTCACACCTGCAACTTTGGGCTTTTTCTTCTCCAGCCTTAGAACTGTGACTCTTAGATTTCTGTTCTCTTTGCTAAAAGGGCTGTTCTGGCCACACAAATGTCAGCTTCCCTTTAGGAGACAAAGCAGCATTCATACAGCTGTAGGCTTTGAACAAATGGCTGTTCTTTCATCTGCATTGTTTTCTTTTGGCTACTTTAGTTTGTCAAAAATGCCATGAGGGGGCCGGGGGCGGGACTGAGTGGTAGAGCGCTTGCCTAGTGTGGTCAAGGCCTGGGGCTTGGTCCCCAGCACAGAGAGAGAGAGAGAGATAGAGAGACAGAGAAGAGAGAGATAGAGCCGGGCGTGGTGGCGCACGCCTGTCATCCCAGCACTCGGGAGGCTGAGGCAGGAGGATCGCTGTGAGTTCGAGATCAGCCTGGGCTGCATAGTGAGACCCTGTCTCAAAGAAGCCAAAGACAAACTGCACATGGCCGACGCTGGGCCCCATGCTGGGAGCTGTGCACGGCCCAGCTGTCGGTGCAGAGGCACAGGAGCAACAGCAGAGTTGCGGGGATGGCACCCGGGATCCCTGGGCGTTACAGTGTCCCCAAGACCCCTGCCTTAAGGAGCTGTGGCCCAGCTTATCTTACACGACTCTGGGGTGGCAGAAAATCCAGGAGATGGAGGAGCGGCGCGTTGTGAAGCTGGGCGAGAGCCTGCGGACCTACGCCGAGGTGGACCGGCGGGTGATCCCCATCATCGGGAAGTGCTTGGACGGCATCGCCGCCGCGGCCCAGGCCATCGACCAGAAGCGCGTGAGTGGCCGCGGGCCCGTGTCGCCTCCCGAGTGCCCTTGTGGGAGGGCGTTGCCTGCTGGGGTCACAGGCGTGCGTGGGTGTTTGTGTCCTTATGTGAGAGGTGGGCTGGCCTTGATCTCACTATGGAGCCCAGGCTGGCCTCGAACTGGCAGCGACCCTCCTGCCTCAGCCTCCCGAGTGCCGGGTGACAGGCGTGCGCCCAGGCCCGGCTTGGGTCGTGATCTCACGCTCACAGTCAAAGCCCCCACCTCCCCGCCCGGTGATGGCCTCGAGGTGGCATCCCCAGCCACGGGCCTCTACGCCTGCCTGTCCTGTGTGTGGGGCCATCCCCGCCTTGGGGGTCAGTGGTCTGCAGATTCCCACCCACAGGGGTGCAGACCAGAAGTCCCTGGGGAGCCCCTCTCCTGGCCACCTGCTCCTCCACAGGCCTCACCTTCCTGGCACACGTTCCCCCCACAGACTCCTGCATTGTCCTCGCTGCCTCTTTCCTCACAGCCACCTCAGTGGAGAGCCAGCCCCTCTGCCTCCGCCTTCAGAGCACCCTACCCGCTCCCCGGTCCAGCTCTGGGATCCCGAGGGGCAGCCTGGGTCATCACAAGCCGCGAACTCGGCCCCTGTGCTGCACAATCTTCACATGGAGACCGAGGGACCCTTGGAAATAAGCCAGTGCCGGGTGTGGTGGTGCATGCTGGAGGCTGAGGCAGGAGGATCCCCGTGAGCTCCAGGCCAGCCTGGGCTATATAGCATGACTGTGTCTCAAATAAAACAATACGAAAAACTTTTAGTGGAAGCCAGATAATGTATACTATGATAAATTTTACAGGAACTGCCTAGTTAGGGTCGCTTGATTTTTTTTTTTTTTTTCAACCTGCATTTAACAAACTAGGTTTTTGGCTTTCATTGTTGTTTTGGGTTTTTTGAGACAGTCTCACTGTGTAGTTCAGGTTGGCCTGGAACTTGTGGCAATCTTCTTGCCTCCGTCTCCCGAGTGCTGGGATCACAGGTATACATCACCATGCCCAGCCAAACTAGGTTTTTAAATAAATATTTGTTTCTCCAAAAGTAGAAAAATGGCTATTGAAAATACCTTCAAGGGCCGGGGATTTAGCTCAGTGGTTACACCACCTGCCTGACAAGCAAAGATCCTGAGTTCAATCCCCTGTACCAGAAAACTAAATACATTAAAAAGAAAAAGAAAATACCTTCAAATCTCAACTAGAGACAGACCTTTCTGAATTATATTCATTCATTGTAGTGATAAACATGTTGCTAGAGAAAAATCGATCAGTATAATTTTAGAACAGCATCTGTATGAGGTCGCCGTAGTCGAGTGCAGAGAGCGTTTGCGTAGATAGGGTGGTGCCGGTGCACTTCTGTAACCCCAGGTACTTGGGAGGCTGAGGTAGGAGGGCTGCAAGTCTGAGGCCGGCCTGGGCGTTTCAGCGTGTCTCAAAGCTAAGACCAAAAGGAGGGGAGGTTCCAGCTCAGCACCCCCCGAGTTGAATCCCCAGTACCACGAAGCAACAAAAGCAAAAGCACCGACCCGCTGAACGGCCTGGGTCTGTGGGCGTCGTTGCAGGATTCACAGCTGGTGATAGAGGCGTACAAGTCCGGCTTCGAGCCTCCCGGTGACGTCGAGTTTGAGGACTACACGCAGCCCATGAGGCGCGCCGTGTCCAACAGCAGCCTGTCGGCGCCCCGGGCGGACGGCAAGGCCGAGCCCAGGTTCGGCAGCAAATCCAAAGGGAAGCTGTGGCCGTTCATCAAGAAGAACAAGGTACTGATGGTTCGGATCGGGCGCGGGCGCGGGCTCCGGGTGGTCTGAGCCTCGAGGTGCCAGGCCTGGCGGGCGAGCGTCGCTGCCTGGGGCCATGCTCGGTGCCCCTGCCACCCACTAACAGACGGGCCTCCCGGCGGGGAGAGGGCACCGCGCCCATCAGCCTCGGCTGACCGCGGGGTTCGGAGCTCGCTCGCGTGCGCAGTGCATGCCAGCCCCCCCCCCAGACAAGCGTAGGATCGGGGACACCTGGGGACACCGGGGGACACCGGGCTCTAACCTCGCGGTGGCTGCAGGCTTCACGGAGACTGCCTCGGCGGCTTCGGCCTTCCCTTCTCCCATCCGCTCTGTTAGCGCCCAAGGTGGAGACCCCGGCCCTGTGGCTTAGCGTGGGTGTAGAGTGACTAACGGAGCTGTAGTTGGCTGTGGACATCGCATGAGCTCCTCCTCTGTCGCCAGACTCACCCTCTCCCTCGCGCCCACCCTCCGTCCATGCGCCCCCCGCTTCCCTCTGGACCATGGCCTAAATATTTAGTGGTTTGTGTTTTACTTGCTTTGGATTTCCAATATG